TACATTTGCTTATAGACGGATGCCTTTTGGTTTGTGCAATGCTCCTGCTACATTTCAAAGGTGTATGATGTCTATCTTTTCGGATATGGTGGAAGAGTATCTTGAGGTCTTCATGGATGATTTTTCTGTTTTTAGGTCTTCCTTTGATGCTTGCCTCAAAAATTTGGACTTAGTGCTTAAAAGATGCCGTGAAACAAACCTTGTTCTTAGTTGGGAAAAGAGCCATTTCATGGTTCAAGAGGGAATTGTTTTGGGTCACGTCATATCTAGAAGAGGAATTGAGGTAGATAAGGCGAAAGTTGAACTTATCTCTGAACTACCCCTACCTTCAACGATGAGGGAAGTTCGCTCTTTTCTAGGTCATGCCGGCTTCTATCGCCGCTTCATCAAGAACTTTAGCAAAATCGCTAGACCTTTGTGCAATCTTCTTGCCAAGGATACTCCTTTCGTCTTTGATCAAGCATGCCTAGACGCCTTTCATAAATTGTGCACTTCATTGTCATCTGCTCCTATCATTCAACCTCCTAATTGGTCTTTGCCCTTTGAAATTATGTGTGATGCTTCTGACTATGCCATGGGGGCATTTTTGGGCCAACGAGTAGGTAAGCTCCCTTGTGCCATATATTATGCAAGCAAAACCTTCTCAGGAGCTCAATTGAATTATTCCATTACCGAGAAGGAATTACTTGCTATAGTATATGCTCTTGATAAGTTCCGCTCTTATTTGCTAGGATCTAAGGTTGTTGTTTACTCTGATCATGCTGCATTGAGACATCTTTTAACAAAGAGGGAAACAAAACCTAGATTGATTAGATGGATTTTACTCTTCCAACAATTCGATTTTGAAATCAAGGACAAAAAGGGCACCGAAAATGTGGTTGCTGATCATCTTTTTAGATTACAAATAGAGCCTTTCCCTAGTCCTCCAATTCATGATTCCTTCCCGGATGAACAACTTTTTCAAGTCTCAAATGGAATAATGCCTTGGTTTGCTGATATTGTGAATTATTTGGCAATAGGCAAGCTTCCAACCTCTTGGTCAAAGAACGACAAAAATCGTTTCTTTGCCAACATCCGGAATTACTATTGGGAAGACCCTGTTTTATACGCTATTGTCCCGATCAAATTGTGAGAAGATGCATTCTGGAGAGTGAAATCCCAAGTGTCCTAGTGTTTTGCCACACACTTGCATGTGGTGGGTATTTTAGTGCAAAGAAGACCGCCCTAAAGGTTCTTCAAAGTGGGCTCTTTTGGCCCACTATTCATAGTGATGCCTACAACTTTTGCAAGTCGTGTGAGAGGTGTCAAAAGATGGGAACAATGTCTAAAAGAGATATGATGCCATTAACCAATATATTGGTTGTTGAAATTTTTGATATTTGGGGCATTGATTTCATGGGTCCATTTCCCATGTCATATGGTTATCAATACATTCTTTTTGCCGTTGATTATGTTTCTAAGTGGGTTGAAGCTTGTGCTACCAAAATGAATGATCACTCCGTGGTCATTCAATTCATTAAATCCAATATCTTTACTCGTCTTGGTATGCCAAGGGCTATGATAAGTGATGGAGGAAAGCATTTTTACAATCAATTCTTGAGGCAATTATTTCTTAAGTACTCCGTCACTTACAAAGTAGCCACTCCCTACCATTCTCAAACAAGTGGACAAGTTGAAGTGTCTAACCGGGAAATTAAGCATATCCTTGAGAAAACGGTTAACACCACCTGGAAAGATTGGTCAAGAAAGCTAAATGATACTTTGTGGGCTTACCGGACGACATATAAGACTCCCATTGGCATGTCCCCTTATAGAATTGTTTATGGGAAGCCTTGCCATCTTTCGGTTGAGCTAGAACACAAAGCCTTTTGGGCAGTTAAAAAGCTCAATTTTGACCTAGCCAAAGCCGGAGAAAATAGGCTACTTCAATTGAGTGAATTGGAAGAACTAAGGCACAATGCTTATGATAATGCCAAGCTCTACAAAGAAAGAACCAAAGCCTTCCATGATAAGCATATTGTGAAGAAGTCCTTAGAACCCAGTCAAAAAGCTTGGCTTTTCAACTTTAGGTTAAAACTCTTTCCCGACAAATTGAGAACCAAATGGGAAGGTCCCTATGAAATTATCTCGGTTGCACCGCATGGAGCGGTAGAGATACAAGACTTGAAGAAAGGGAACATCTTCAAGGTGAATGGGCAAAGATTGAAACCATACATAGAGGGTCAAGTCTTTCAAAGACATTTAGAGGCTGTAAATCTTATTGACCCGGTGTATGAACATATTGATGAAGATTTTGATAAGAACTTAAAAACATCTTTTGAGTTAAATCCAACAAGTTTTTCCAAGAACCATTTGTTAGGTGGAACTCAAAACATTTCTCAACCCAAAAAGGAGGGGATGCATCACAAAATCTTTGATCCGGGCTGAAAGAGCCCAAGGTCTTGCTAGAGACGTTAAAGACTAGCACCGAAACTCGTAGGATGTCAAAACCCTATTCCTCCCTCATTTCTATCTTGCATTTTGATTCTTGCGAAGTCTAGATACTGTTTTTGTGGTTCATATACATTGGAAGGAACTGAGTAAGGGATTGCATGAGCATTCAAGTCATTTTGAGCATTTAGGCATAATTTCGATCGATCCAAGTTTTGGTTCGATCGATCCAACTATGGACTTGATCGATCCAGCTCTCATTTTGCACCCAACACTTAGAAAAATTTTGGACCTACATCCAAATTCCAAAATGCATGCTCTCAGGATCTCTAAATTTTCAAAAGTTCGATCGATCGTAAACCATTTCGATCGATCGAACTACCTTTCGATCGATCCAACATGTGGTTCGATCGATCATGAGTCCCAACACTTAGAAAAATTTTCAGGCTTCATCCATTTTTCAAAAATGTATGCTCTCGGGACTTTTCAAAATTTTTCATGTTCGATCGATCGAATTCCAAGTTCGATCGATCCAAGGTTCCAACACGTGTCAACTCTTGAGCCCTTAAACTTGTACATTCTTTATCCTCTTCGATCGATCGAAATCTTTCTTCGATCGATCGAAATATTGCATCTCATTAATTTAATTTCCTTTGATTTTTCAAAATTCAAAATTCAAATTCAAAATAAAAAAAAATAAAAAAATTTAGAGTGGAGACTTAGGTTCGATCAATCGAACTCGATCGAACTCTGCATATCGTGCTTTTAAAATAAAACCGAGTTGGATCGATACACTTGGATCGATCCAACCTCTAAACAAACCCTAACCCTAAGTCTCCCTTTCTCTCAATCTCAAGCTCAATCCAGCCAACCTCCATCCCAATCATCTTCCCCATTTCCGGCGAGGCAATTCTGCCAAGGATAAGCTCCATTTTCATCGCGGCTTTGCCCCTTCTCTCTCATCTCATCTCTCTCGGTTTAGAGGTAAACCGAATGCAATTTTCTTGATTCCAAGCTTAAATTGATGCATGTTATTGATTGTTTATGTTAAATCATGTTCAATATGTATGAATCATTCATTGTTGAAGCTTCAATTTCATGATTACATGCTATATAAACACACATGCATTCAGCCGAACCAAAATTGGGGGTTTTTGATTTGATTTGAAGTTGGGGAGTGTTTGGATGTTGTTGATTATATGAATGGTGTGTAGATGGGCCCTTAAACACGTTTGTGTGGGCCCCGTACTCTAGATCTCACAGATCTGCGACTTTTCAAATTCGGCATTCGCACAGTTCGATTGATCGAACTTGTGCTTTGATCGATCGAAGTAGTGAACTTCATTTCACTACCTTCGATCGATCCAATCTTGTGTCGTCTTCATGCTATCTTTATATGCACAATGCCTGTGATATTCCATATTGGATGCATTTCATAGATTCATGTCATCTATATTTTGTCTATCTTATTTGACATGAATATTTCTATATTATGCTTCAAATTATTTATTCTGGTACTGATTTCCATTGCAAGTTTTTCTGTTTGCAGACCATGGATACAAATGCCACTTCTTCTGCTTCTGCCATTTCTGAGCCTCATGATCCGATGCCTCGCTTTGAAGAGCGATTTTAGATTCTTGAGGATATGCTAGTTACCCTTAGAGCTAACTTTGCTACCCTTCGTCTGACTCTAGTGGCTGCCCTCAGGAATGAAATTGCTTGCCTGCGTGGAGAGATACTGACTGCTATTGAGGGCCTCACCAGCGAAATCCACACAGTCCACCTTACGCATCCCGCTCCCTCTATCTGATATCTTTCTATGCTCTATATCTCTGATATGCCTCTGCCACATTTGTGATACTTTTATTTTTGTAGCCAGACCTATCGGCTTTGACTCTGGATGTACACCATAGTGACTTCAGTGAGAGAGTGCTGCCCAATTTTTCAGGACCACTCTTACACCTCTCTCTCTATTCTCTATTTATCCCATTTTACACTTGCATCCCGATCATTCATGTCTAAAGCACTGGTATATTCTTTCCTTTATTCTCTTCACACATTGAGGACAATGTGCAGTTTAAGTTTGGGGGTATTGGTGGATGTTTCAGTGTTGCTTTAAAATTCAAAATTTGAGCATGTCTTGTGTATTTGAGGGATATTTCTATACTTGGTCCATTTCTAGCTATGATTTTGATCTTTTGAGGACTATATTGCTTAAAATTTAAAAATTACTTGACTTGAGAGTCCAATACTCCTTGTATGCCTTTTGAATGCCATTTAGGAGTAAATTTTTCAAAAAAAAAAAAAAAAAAAAAATTACTATCATGCTTGCACTTGTGGTCCACATCATCTTGATTCTGTGATTGTTTTGAGATTCATTCTAGGATTCTACACTAGCACCGGCGCACGCTAGCATTTAATTGTGGGGTACATGCTTTGTTGATTATTGAATTGGTTATATCCCAATTGGGCTAGTAGTGCATTGAAAGCTTTCATTCTTGATAAAGGTGGATAACAACCCCTTTTCATTGAGTAGCCGGGATTCTTGCTTCATTAAGCAGTGAACTTCTCGCGCCGAAAGGTGGAGGGCCCAAACTCTAGGTTAATAATTGAAAAAAAAAGAAAAAAAAAAGAAAAAAGGAAGTTGCAAAAGCAATAAAAGTGAGGACTTCTCCCAAAAGGCGAGAAGTGGGAAATGATTAGATGGTTGTTGTCTTGATTTGTAGCCTAGTTGATTTGAGTTTGTAAGTCCGTTGGGGTGTTTTAACACCTAATACCCTAAAGCCATCTGGTTTGGGAGTCATTGACCTAAAGCTCGCTACATGAATCTTCTAGAAAGCTTAAGAGATCAACACATTATACAATATTTCCATCTTTGATCCTCAATAAAAAAATTAAAAAAAAGAAAGAAAAAGAGTGAAAAGAATAAGCGCACCTAGAATAATAAAGCTTTAATAAAAGGTCCACTCTCTTATCTTGATGATCGGTACTAGATTTGTGTGCTAGTTTGAGGGTAAGGATGTGATTACTTCTCTAGTTGGCTAAGATAGGAACACACTTGATGCCGGACCTCTCACATGGATTCTAGACTTGTTTCGATTTTCATGATCATTTTCTTGATATGTAGAGGACCATACTTGCTTGCTTGATATTGAAATTTTGGGAGATTGCTTAGAAACGATTGAAAAATTGCATACTTGAGGTAGTTTTTTCCTAATGCTTGTTTGCAATATTGGTGCCTCTTTTGAAAGAATGAGCTTAATGTTTGTGGGTACCATTTCTGGAAACCCTCACGAGACTTTACTCATCCACTAGGGGTAACCTAGGGGTTTAAAAGGCTTGTTGCATATGCTAAATGCAATCGTGTTCCCTAGGAAAATGGTGTTATCATTTTACTTGCTTTCCAGTTTATACTTGTATAGTTGTTTATTTCATTCCTTTACTTCTTAGTTCATTGCTAGGGACTAGCAATATTTAAGTTTGGGGGTGTGATGAGCACTGAAAAGTGCGTATTTAAACCCGTTAAGCTTAAGCATTCTAGTACCTTTATCTATCTTACTTTGCCGTTTTAGACTTATTACGTGTTATTTATATTTTCAGGCACTAATCCCAAAATTGAGCTAGCTCAGCCAAATAAGAGCTTAATTGAAACAATCCTGAGATAAACCAAAGGAGGGAGCCAAGTGGAGAAAGAAAGGAGCAAAAAGGAATCAAGTTGTGCAGCTGAAAAGTTCAATCGATCCAACTTAGAGTTCGATCGATCAAACATCTATGATCGATCACAGTACTTCTCGATAGATCCAACATTGGCCTTTGCTGAAATTCCAAGTTCGATCGATCGAACATCACCTTCGATCGATCGAACCCTATGTTGTCCTATTCAAATGATTGATCTTATCCACAGTTGTACGCCTACCAACCACTTTTGTCTTTTTCCCCATAAATATCTTGAAAATATCCCAGCCTTGTCATTATCCGGAGGAGTCAGACCACTTCGATCGATCTAAGATGCAGTTCGATCGATCGAACCCATATTCGATCGATCCAAGTTAAGGTTCGATCGATCGAACTTCCTCCAGCGAGAAAAAGTTAAAGTCCAGCTCATTTATTCCGTCCTTCATCCAATGATTGGAGAATATGGCTTGCACGACCACAGCTCATCATGGGGTGTATTTGACCTACCTATATAAGGAATATGATACACTTTTTGAGGGAATCTCTTGTCACACATTGAAAATCATCTTGGAGGCTATTCTTGGAGAGGAAGAAGGGAGGAAGCTAGAGGAACCTTTGGAGGAGACCTTCATCATCAAGGAGCAGATTTTCACCATGGATTTAGCCCTTGAGGGTTGGAGCTTCATCATTATGAGTGGCTAGACATCCTTTTGGGGCTAGAGTTAGCCCCAAACATGCTTTCTTTACCTAATCTTGTGTAATTTTGAGGGATTTGTGTTGTAATGCATATTTTGACTCTTGAACTTATGAAGATCTTGATTATTCATTGAGTTCTATGGATTAATGCTTCTAATTTATCATTTTCTCTATCTATATGTCTATGTATGCTAGAGTAGATGCTCACCTCTAGATTTAATGTTATTGATGCATGTCTATGTGTATTAATGCCTTTAATCTTGAGATTGTCAAAATATGAAGTTCTTAATGTAATGCTCTTGTTATGTCTCTAGATGGTTCATACTTATTCCTTGATGGATTGTGCTTCTCTTTTAAGTAGTGTAGTGTTAGTTGGTGAAACAATTCATGCTTGTTCTTTGATGTTCCATGCTTTTGAATGCAAGAAGCATATGCTCTAATATTGTGGTGTAATGGAATTTTGAGCTTAATGAAGGATTAATGACTAGTTATGATATGTTGTATCTTTCACATGTGTTTAGACAATTTATTCCTCTCCCAATAGATATTTTGTACCTCTCACATGATGTTTAGATAATGCATGTTTAACTAAATCATCCTTATGGATTGCTTGGACTATGAGCTTAATGAAAGATTCAATGACTTGAATTGTTATTTTGTTATCTTCACATGATGTTTAGACAATATATTCCTCTACCAATAGATATATTGTGGCCTCACACATGTTGATTGAGACAATTTGCACTTGTTGAGTCACCCTTACCAATTGAATGTCTTTTACACACACAACATTGTTGCAACACATTCATTTCCCTCATTAGTCACTTGATTATGGTTTGAAATAGTATTGTTTGGTGGTGATCTCTAAACCCCAAGACCTTTCCTTCTTACTTACTCTTTATCTTATTGCATTGCTTTATTATAGTTTAGCTAATTTAGTATAATCAACCAACCAATCAATTGTGTGATCACTCGACCTACTAACTCTAATTACCATAGTTTCACAATTCGATACACCATCAAATCCCTTGGGACGATCCCTACTCGCCCTATCTATATTTTATATAGAGAAAGGTAGTAGTGGCTTTCTATAAATGTAAAACTTGGCCACCTCCTAAATTCACAACTCTTCAAGCTTTGTTGGTTGTGGCGACTCCATCAAGGAAGCCAACAACAGAACACTATTATATGACCTCTATTCTTGTGTCCAGCAGGGCTCTGCCAGATACCACACAACGAGATAGGTTGAGAATATACAATAAACCATTACATCTAAGACAAGGGAATAACAATTTATAATCTACTAAAGCATGAAAACCAATTGAGTTGTCTCAATTGCTCATAGTTATATAATCAAGAAAACATTATATATTAAAATAAAATCTTAGAGTTAAAACAATCAAACCATAATATCAGATTGGGTTACATCAGTGCCCTAAGAGAAAGATTAGCTACTTATGACGATGTTGGATGTCATCTGTGTTGGAGTTATCTCCATCGTCACGGACGGTACTTTTCTTTTCAGCATCTTCACTTTCAAGGTTGTAGAAACCCTAAAAGTCACCACGGTACCAGCCTTCTGAATAACACCGTAAGAAGAACTGGAAATTTTTGGACCTCTTCTATTAAGGTTTACGCCTTCTTTTATAGAAGAAAATAAGGATCTGGTGGGCTTTTAGGTCTTCTGGCCCATCTGGGATAAGATACGGCTGATAAAGAGAGTAATCCCGTACTTTAAATCTGACATGTCATGGAAGGCTCGAGTTTTAGGAACAGAGGCTCGAGCTTTAAGGTTCAGGCTCGAGCTTCTTTGGATTGATGCTCGAGCTTCAAGAATTGGTGCTCGATCTTCACATTGACACTTAACCAATTTTCTTCTACTATTTTCTGAAGCGTCTTTTTCTTCAACACTTAGAATATTTTTTGGATTGAAATCAGTTAACATTGCTCGATCCAAGCTTCATGGGCTCGAGCAATAAGTACCAAGCTCGATCATTTGGGACTCCAGGCTCGAGCTTCAATGAATGGTGCTCGATCCTGAAGGTAAGGCACGAGACCTGGGAGCATAGCCTTTCAATTAAAATCAACTTTTCAACTTCCGATGCCTCATGCTTGAGCTTGAGGGTCAAGGCTTGAGCACCCTTAGGTAGGGCTCGAACATCCTAAGGTAAGGCTCAAGCACCAAGGTACAAGGCTCAAGCTTTAATGCCTTGTTGACTTTTCTTCTTTTCTTTGTTGTGATGCTCGAGCCTTAACACTTGGGTTCGAGTTCCGGGGCTTGAATTTCTTCAAACTTCACCATTTAAGCTCTCGGCTTGCTCTGAATGACTGGCAACGACTCTGTAAGTTTCGATATCATTATAAAGTTCCGGTTTTAACCATTTCTCTGGGAAAGCACCTGTAAACATACATTAAACATAAATCAGTCTAAATATGGATAGAAGTATCACTTTAGGCCTTAACATACGTATATTTAGGGACTCGAATATGCATATATTCAGCGCTCATCACACCCCTAAACTTACATATTATGTTTGGGCTCGAATATGCATATATTCTTATCATTTTACAATTTTTCTTGAGCTTGGCATGCCTTGCCTTTTATTTACAATGAGAATCAGCCAAATCTATGATGTTTTATTACAATCAGAATTCAAGAGCAAGGATAGGATGCCCTTTGTTTTGACAAGAGATGAGTACATGAAAAAGCAAGGAATTCAGATACTTGAAAAGAGATGGCAAGTGAAATGATCAGTTTTGAAAGAATTGAGAGTTCTAAGTTCCCTAATTACGACATCACTAATCTATATATAGTATATTTTAGCAAGTCATGCTTTATACAAACTTCTGGTGAAATTTAACTGCAAAGGTTATGGATAATGAATGTGACTTTGTTATGAGTTTATTATATTTGGGAACAGATGAAAATCAAAAGTGGAGAGTTTACACCATTGGAGACAACATCATTTGGTTAAAAGTTCGTTCTCCTGACTACTCACATAGATATGTATGGACTTCACGATATGATGAAACCCACACATGCTCATGTATGTGATCGGAGAGTAGGTTGTCGTCAATTACATATTTTTTAATTTGAAAGATAAAACTTGAACAAACAAGAGTTTAAAGTAACTTTTTGAAAAAAGTATCCAATGAGTATTTAGGATTCTTGAATAACAGTTACTAGTACATGAAAACTTTTGTTCTTTTCCTTTCTTCAAAATGGTGGTGATAATTACTTGAAAAAATTTCTCTCATGTATCGAATTATTATTTGAATTTTTTTTTTGAATGTTCTCACCTGATTTTCAAACTCTTTAGCAAAGATGTGAGATGAGAGTCTTTGTCCTTAGACTTGTCCTCTTCGTTGAAAACTTATAGTTCATTGCACAAAATAAGAGGTTAATTAAAGTATTTACATTAAAATTTATTGTTACTGACCAAACTGCCCTTTAGCCTTTAAGAAATGGTGTGCATACGTAGTGTAATACTACAACAATTGTAAATTTGATGAGATGGGATTTTTAATATAATTGTAAATGTTTTTCTTAAAGCTTCAAGTTTACATTTTAGATTTTTCTAATTGCGGATTTGAGTAGTTTTTCATTTCTTTTTAAAAATGCTATACAAGCCGAGTGGGCATGGTCCAGGTTTTTTTAAAATCAAGTGAAGTAATATTAAAAAAATTACTAATTAAATAAACTATTCAGTGTGATCTCAAAGTTTTTCGTTTATTTGAACTATAAGCTCCACATCGCATCGATCAACAAAGGTGGAATTAATTTGACTAAACATGTCAATCTATAAGAAAACTTGAGTTTTTTTTTTTTTTTTGAAAGGTAAGTATATTAAATAAGAACAAATGTACAGACCCATTGTTGGGCCGGGAAACAAAATAAGGCCTAAGCCCATTCTGATTACAATAAGCCGAAGCTTAGCCCAAGTTAAGTGAACCCAAAGCTATTTAGGACAAAAATATGATTTTTTATTTTTAATTTTTTTACCCCACCAAACTATATATTTATAGTGGTCGATAATTAACATCTATAATCAATTTAGAAGTGTGCCAAAAAAAAAAAAAATTATATCAGTCAATTTAGAAGCAACATTAATTAAATTATTTGGAAGCAATATTATTATTATTATTATTATTTTGGAAGTTAAATTATTTGAATGTTGGTTGCAATGGAGAGCTTGAGTTCATTTGACTTGCAAATGGTATATGTTTTAAATAATCAAATTTAAAATATTTTCTAAACCAAATCCAATAATTATCTACCAATGCTTCAACTTTTTGTGAGATAATTGAAGCTTCATTGCATGGAGTTGCATGCATGGGACTAGTGAGGAGTAGGTTTTTTTTTTTCCTTTAAAAAATATTATTGCTAAATATTGGTACTCCAGACAACAAATATATATATACACACACACACACACTTTTTACATAAACATGTCTCTCTCACCCACTCATGGTGTTTATAGAACATTTAAAGAAACGACACTATGGCTATGGCTTTGGTAATTAAGAGGAAACAGTATTTATATTTTCTTTTCATGTGCAGGTGCAATATATATCAATATACTGAGCCTTTTTGTCAACACTCGTTTCATTATCACATGAAACAGTTTTTAGAATCCATATTATACATTAATATATACGTTAGCTAGGTTCTCCCTCTCTTCAACTCACTATTGATCTGAAACCCTAAATATTAATCATCTCTTCCTTCAACTGACCTTTACCACCTTCATTGCTTGTCACCTCCTCCATTCTCAAATCCTAATATATTACATCCAATCTTTAGAGATAGTTCTAGCTGCCTCATTCGTTGCTTGCCATCTTTGTTGCAACCCCATTTCCAAAATGATTTAAGAGGCCGACCAATTAAATACACTATAGGAATTCAAAATTTTGAAATTTATCATCACATGTTACAATCTAAAGCCAAATTGATTTCCTTAAACTCCATTGATAATTGGAGTCTTACAATTGTGGTTAATTAACTATGTTTGGGCTAATTGTTTAGCTTCTTCTTTGTAACGGATTGTAATATGAAGGATTTGCAATAGAAAATCTCAAACGTATAAAGAAAAAAAAAAAGAAAAAAAAAATCCTTTTGGATGATCCGCAAAAAGATCCAAACAAATTTTATTAATTATTTAAAAAAGTTTTTGACACGTGTCATGTTTTTATTAGTCCATGTCAGCATCAGAAGGACATTCATACTTATGCGGCCTGAGGCAAGTATTGTTCTAATTAATATTTACATAAAAGAAAAGATAATAAAAATAATTTAAATAAGAGATGAAATTTTTAATAAAAAAGAGTAAAATAGTCTTTTGTGATGGAGTTGTCCTTAATTGCAACAAATCAATAGTTCAGGAAGGTAATTTTTAGTTCATGAAATTATTTGCAAAAGGATAATAAATTAGGGTTTTTTTTTTTTTTTTTTGCTCTTAACCCTATTAAAAAGTAATACTACTACATAAACTATTCAATGTGATTTTAAAGTTTTTGCATTTGTAAATTATAAACCTGGCCTACTTCGACTTGATCCACAAAGGTGGTATTAATTCTAACTAAACATGTCAATCAAAAAGAAAACTTCAGCTAAAAAAAATTGATGGTGAAGAAAAGTATTTATTTATTTATTTATTTTTATTACAAGACAAAAAAATATTAGAAGTTAGATTAATAGGTGCAGAGAGTCGAAGTTTGGCACTCCAAAATTCATCGGAGACACTAACTCACTAAACTATCAAAGCATGTACATAGTCAAGAAAAGATGACTATAAGAAAATTCGCTGTCTTTTACCAAACCAAGTCATTTCTAAAAAAAAAAATTATCACTAAATTTGGGCTTCATCTACAAAAATCCTTCCTAATTTGGTGGTACGAAGGATCCTTCGCACACTTATCAATCTATATTATAGTGATAATTAACTTCTATAATAATTCTACAAGCAACAATTAAATTATTTGGATGTTGGTGGTATGACAAAGCTTGAATGCTACAGATGAAAAGAAAAAAAATTAACGGCTGAATCATTCAAGGGGCGGAGTTCATTTGACTAGGAAATGGTAAATGATTTATTAAATAATCAAATTAAAAATATTTTCTAAACCAAATCTAATATTTATCTACGAATGGTTCAACATTTTGTGAGATAATTGAAGCTTCATTGCATGGCGTTGCATACAACTACTAACGAGTAAATTTTTTTAAAATATATTATTGGTACTCCAAACAACAATATAATGTATATATACGTGTGCGTGTTTTTACATCAACATATCTCACGCACTCATGGACATGGTTGGTGTTTCCATACCATATAAAGAAACGACACTATGATTTGTTAATCAAGAGGAAACAGTCTGAAAGATTTATCAACATTTTCTTTTCACGCGCAGCTGCGCAGACATATATATATATAAATGTACGTTTGTTGATTAGTCATATATGTAGTTTCTATTTGAATAATTAACCTACACATATTGGCAAAAACCCAAGTTTAATTGTTTATATAAAGGGCATATTTATAAAGTTAAGAACAAATTATCAAACCGCTAAACCAGTCTCAGCTTGTCAGATCAAAATGATGAAACATTCCATTGTATTTTGTGTTCTCTTCTTTCTTCATGTTTTTGGCTCATTTGCCCAACGCCAGGTTCAATATTGCTTCTTTATATATATATTTTTCAATACCATATATATATATATATATATATATATATATACATATACATACATACTTTAATTTTGTGATATATACATGTAATTGCAGGTTTATATAGTATATGTTGGAGAACATAGCGGGGAGAAAACGTTACATGAAATTGAAGAAGCCCATCACTTGTATCTTCTCTCAGTAAAGAATTCTAAAGAAGAAGCAAAAGCTTCCCTTATTTACAGTTACAAGAACATCATTAATGGCTTCTCAGCATTGCTCACCCCAGACGAAGCTGCAAAGTTATCAGGTATATATGTACTTGTTTTTCCCGGGTAAACAGATATATATATATATATATATGTACTGACATATATGTTAATTTATGTAAAGTAGTGGTCAGAATATCTCTGTTTGTTCTTCACATGGTGAAATTTCTTTGTCCATCTTTACTGTAGACATAGACCATACGATCAAACCAGTAAACCTTTGTATATTATGCGGTGCATGATTTACATATTTATGTCATTTCTTGACTACAATATTTGTGCTTGTGGCAACAGTATAATATATATGAATGTTTATATATGCTATATATGTACATATAATGTGTGCTTTGTGCATGTATTTTATACTTTATGTGGTTAGAATTCAATTATTTATGTGCTTAATTAGTGCTTGTTTAACAGAAAAGGAAGAAGTGATTTCAGTGTTTCGAAGCCGTCCAAGAAGATACAGTCTTCAAACCACAAGATCATGGGATTTTGTAAACTCACTTGAAGCAGCAGGAGATTCATTGAACAATGCAAATAATTTCGGAGAATTACAGCATAAAGCAAATTATGGAAAAGATGTCATTGTTGGGGTCTTGGATAGTGGTAATCTCAATTGAAAGAACTTACTGCATTTATATATTCTTCAATTTATTTCGATCTATCCTTTTTTTCTTTCAGTGAATCATCAATTCTATTTTATGATCATTCTTTTAATACCAGAACGCAGTTTTTTTTTTTTTTTTTTTCCTCTAAAGAAATTAAAGAAGGGCTATTTTAGTATTAGAGACTTTATAGGGTCACCGGAGTTGGTCTTAAGAACCCATAAACTCAAGGCAGAACCCATAAACTCAAGGCACAATACGTCAACTTTATCATTACTCCCAAAGTCAATCCTTGTGTGTATTATTTTTTATTTTGTTTTTATAAAACTATCAACTATTATACATAATAATAATAATAATAATAATAATAATAATTTGAAACAAACTTAAATTAGACCTATTCTATTCTCTTAATTATGCCCTGTATTTTTTGTTTGGGAAATTTTTAGATATGTTATAAAATACTATATAACAACAATCATCAAATTTAATCCAATAATGAGCCTAGAATTTAAATAACATAAATAACTCAATAATAGAATATTAACTTAATAATATAAAATTTATATGACAATAGAATTTAAGAAAGTAAAAGGACAATAGTAAAATAAGAATGAAAGAGCCAGCTTGATGAGGCAATGTTTAAACATTGACTTAAAGTTGATAATCCTTCATTTCATGCAGGTGTCAGCTCCAAGAAACAATCAGTTTACATTGACATCTCTACTATGTGCACGACCACATAAAAATTAGGTCTAAATCTATGTGTATCAAGTTAATAAGTAAAACACAACTCCTCCTTTCTACCGTGTATGGGAGTGTAAGTGACTTTGATAAACTTTAACAAGGGATTTAAAAGAAATAAACACTATACTATCTAATATATTTAATATAACCTTAATATAATACCTTATTATTATATTAAATCCTATTTATATTTTATATTAAAATATCTATAACAGTTTTTACAGACACCCACTTGCCCAACATGAAACTAAGAATGGGAATTTGTATTCACGGGTTATAATTGCATCATGTCAATATAAGGATATTCTATTAGATAGATAAACCCAAATTCGACCTATTTAATAATTATGTTAGGAACCCTTAACACTAACCTGATCTATTTATTAAATGAGTTAATGTGTTAACCTATTTAATGACCTGTTAATCAAAACGAGACATTTAATATTCAATCAAATAATAAATACTAAAACAATTTGTCACAATTAACCCAAATATTCAAAATAAGAAGAAAAATCATAAAGCCTAGTCAATGTTTATGTTAAAACGGTTTAAGTATCCATATTAATTGGGTTTAAGCAGGTAACATATTACATAGGTCATATTCATAATTATGACATGTTGAGTTAAATATGTATAAATGGATTACACGTGTTGAACCCCCTTAATCCCAACCCGATACGGTTAACTAAACGGGTTAATTGTATCAATCCATTTATAACTCGAGTCTGTTTAAGATCAACTCAAGCCCACTTATTTTGAGTCGTGTTGACACGTCATGTTATAATTTGTCACCCCAACAAGAATCCTTGACTTTATATATATATATATATAAATTGTCAAAAAAAAAAAACCCACTTACTCATTTCTCTTGTGAGGACTCGACCCTTACCTCCCCGTTCCCAACTCATTTGTCAATTTACCGGCGGCTTAAACTTTCGAATCAAAGTCTCTCCAGTGGAATGGTAGTTCGGTTCCATCGCATTAAGAAAGCACCTTACAAAAAAAAAAAATTTGTGATGTTCCTCATTTCATTTTTTTTTTTTTTTTGTTAACTTAAAACTTCAATAAAACTTGTAAAAAAAAAAACTCATTTACTCATGCTCATTTTGCTCTGTAGGGATTCGAGCCCTCACCTCCCATGCAACCCATATTTGCCTATTTGTCCAAAACTCAAACCCTCACCTCAAAAGGAAGAGAAGATACCACTAATTGTAATATAAAAACTCACTTTTAACCTTTGTCCAATGGGGGACTGGATTCATCTCCTAACTCCCAACTCAAGAATTTATATTACTCGTTGACTGTGTGTTTTTGTACCAGGTGTATGGCCAGAGTCGCAGAGTTTCAGTGACGAAGGGATGGAGCCAATTCCAAATTCATGGAAAGGAATCTGTCAACATGGAGTTGCCTTCAACCAATCTCATTGTAATAGGTGATTTTCCATTCTTTCACACGCACACACATATGTCTCATTTTAATTCTTATTAATTAGCCATAGAACAGAGATTGCTATTTCATTTTTCATTAATAATTAGTTGGGTGTTCAAGGACCATTATATTTTTTCCATTCTTTTCCCTTTTTCCTTTCCTGTAGCATTTTGTAGATATGAGACATTAAATGTTTCTTAAACTACCGTTCCCATTCTCAATTAGGGCACAATTAACAAAAGATCAATTTTTAAGTGCAAAAAGTTCATAGAAAGTTTGCATGGTATTTAGAGGTAGAGTTAAAAATACACAGATAAATACATCTGAAGTGTTGTAATTTGATGTAGTATAATAGAAGATTTTGTAAGATGAACTATATGTGAATATTCTTAATTAAATTGATGGATAACAAACACGAAAGTGGGAAAACGAAATGGGTAGAGTCAGATTATCTGTAATAATCGTAAGTAACATCAATCAAGATAACCGTCTGTTACGAAGCACCCTATTGGCTCCTAGGAATTTGGAATTGGAAAAAATTCAGTTTAAACTTTGATGCTAATGGAAGGTACAGATAGCCTATGATGCATGAAATTAAAGACACAGTTGTAGATGGACAAAAGTATCAAGAAGAATAAAAGGTTAGATCAAATTTGTTCAGTTGCCCCAATTAGTTGAGTATCATGTTCTACTGCATCACACAGGTCGAAAATTACTTTCTATGAATCCCTGCAGCTAACATATGATCTCAAGCTAATATGATGAAATAAATTACCACCTTTACACCTCTTGTAAAAGATGACTTTGTTGTTCATTTACATTACAAACTTTGTTTTTTGTGTGAATATCATTGCAGAAAATTAATAGGTGCTAGATACTATTTAAAGGGTTATGAAGCATACTATGGTCGTCTCAACGATACAGAGGACTATAGGTCACCCCGTGACAAGAATGGCCATGGAACCCACACAGCTTCTACAGTTGGAGGCCGACAAGTTCCTAACATTGCAATGTTTAATAGATTCGCCAATGGTACAGCCTCCGGTGGTGCCCCACTCGTGCGTCTTGCCATCTACAAAGTATGTTGGCCGATCCCAGGGAAGCCTAAAGGGAATGGAAACACCTGCTTTAATGAAGACATGATTGCAGCCTTCGATGATGCCATTGCCGATGGTGTTGATGTGCTTAGCATCTCCATCGGGGCATCCAATCTTACTCCATACACAGAAGATGGGATTGCAATTGGGGCATTACATGCCATGAAGAGAAACATTGTTGTGGCATGTAGTGCTGGCAACACTGGCCCTGCCTCATCAACTGTCAAAAATGTGGCACCATGGATCCTCACTGTTGGGGCAAGTAGCATAGACCGAGTCTTTAGCTCGCCTGTTGTGTTAGGAAATGGCATGAAAATTGAGGTAACACTCACTCATGGAACAAATTCTAAACTCCAATAGAAAAAGAAAAGTACTTTTTTGAACATTTTGTTGATTTTCTTTCCTAGATTTTCACCATCTTATTTGTTTTGTAACCTGTTATAGGGACAAACGATAACCCCATATAAGTTGCACAATATGTACCCACTGGTCTATGCAGGAAATGGAGAACTACCTGGCACAGTTACGAATAGAACAACGGGGTAAATATTCATTTGCCTTTGTTCTTGATTTTTGGATTGTTATTTTGTATTCCTAATGACTTGAATTTGTTAATCTTCAGACAATGCCTTCCTGGTAGCCTCTCCCCAGATTTAATGAAAGGAAAGATTATTTTTTGCTTGAGTGGAAACATTGGAAATGCTGAAAAAGGTTTGGTGGTGAAAAGAGCTGGGGGTGTTGGTATGATTGTAGAGAACCCTGAGAATGGCATCGGAATATTAGTTAATGCTCATTTACTTCCTGGAACAACAATATTTTCCAACGATTCAGCTACAATTCTCAATTACATAAGCACTGATAAGAATCCAATGGCAACAATAATCCCAGCGCGAACAGTTCTTAACACTAAGCCAGCACCATTCATGGCAGCTTTCTCGTCCAGAGGTCCAAACGGCCTTGATCCTAATATTCTCAAGGTAATTTATAGTACTAATTAGTGTTCAGCTTATAGGTGCCATAACAATATAAGGAAAGAAATGCTCAACTAACATATGTCTATACAACAGTGAGTCTTGACAATGCTTGCAACTTTTAAGTATATTATGAACCATTGATTTGCAACTACAAACTCATTTTTCACACCTAAATTTGCAATTTCTTTTCGAAGAACTATATTTATTTTAACATCGTATCACTTGTATTTAAATTTAATGACCACCAACTTAATTGGTTTTTTGATTTCAAATTTAATGATCGCCTACTTGATTATTTGCAGCCTGACATTACTGCTCCAGGATTAAATATCTTGGCAGCATGGATTGAGGACACCTCCCCCACATATTTGGCTGATGATCATCGAGTAGTCAAGTACAACATTCTCTCTGGCACTTCCATGTCCTGCCCTCATGTGGCTGCTGCAGCTGCACTCGTCAAAGCCATACACCCTGATTGGAGCAGTGCGGCTATAAAATCTGCTCTAATGACCACTGGTACACAAACATATCTATAATAGTAAAAAGTGCAAGTACACGTGAATGTGCCTTTTGCATGGTTTGTCACACAGAAAACAGTTCTCAAGAACCCGAAAAAACAGAAAATTGTTTTTCAGGCATATTTTTAACCGAGTTTTAAAAAAACAGTACTCTACCAAGCAGGCAATGTTCACGATTATCACAATCTAGTGTGTTGATTACTGCTATTATTTTTCTTTTGCAGCCGGAGTAAACAATAACATGGGGACGCAGATGACAGATGCATTAGGGAATCTCGCAACCCCCTTCCAGTATGGAGCTGGCCACTTCCAACCAACAAAAGCAGCTGATCCTGGTCTTGTTTACGACACCACTTACAGGGACTACCTTATCTTCCTCTGCAATTTTAGTACTGGTGTCAATAAATTTGAACCATCATTTCAGTGCCCAGAGCAATTGCCTTCATCAAGCAATCTAAACTACCCATCCCTTGCAATTGCCAAACTCAATGGCACCATGACTGTGAACAGGACTGTCACAAATGTCGATAGCAGTGGAGGTGTGTACACTTTGACAATCGAAAAACCAGTTGGATATTTGGTAGAGATCTCTCCAACAATTTTACAATTTAACCATTTAGGGGAGAAGAAGAAGTTCACCATTACAGTCAAAGAAGAAAGTGGGATGAATAAAACAGGTGAATATGCATTTGGTTGGTATGTGTGGAGTGATGGGATTCATATAGTAAAAAGTCCCATTGCAGTGTCCTCAGCATAGCTTTGTTGTAGCAATTCTGTATCTTTCTTATGTCTTCTTTTATTTTCCATTTTTTCCCCAAGGAATATACCCAATTTTTTTAAAAAATTCAATTTATTTTATTTATTGGTGTTAATTTTCTTTAATTTATGGAAATTTCAAGTCTGATTATTGATTTGGTTTTTTATCTGGATCCAATCAATCGGTTGGGCCAAATGTTTTTCTTTTCCTTAAATTGGGCTGGATCTGAACACCAGCCCAACACTGTACATTTAAACCTATATTTATAGAATTGATTTGACCTTCGCGGGAAATTTTTTGTTTTGGTGTGCATACATAGTGAAATTGCAACCTTTGGTAAATTGATCATCTTTTGTGGGATTTTTTCAGATAATTGTAACTATTTTTCTTAAAGCTTCAAGCTAGTTTTAACATAACTGTAATTTTAGAACTGTTAATGCGAATTTAAGTAGTTTTTCACTTCATTTAAATGTCAACCATATGAAAAAATTACTACTAAATGAACTATTCAATGTGATCTCAAAGTTTTTTTTATTTATTTAAAGTATAAGCTTGACTTCGCATTGATCAACATAAGTGGATATTATTAATTCGACTAAACCCTATAAGAAATAAAAAATTGATAGTCTAGAAAAGATAACTATAAAAAAATTAGCTGTCTTTTAGCGAACAAGTCCTTTTAAAAAAAATTATCACTAAACTATTTGATTATCACTAAATTAGCTGTCAAGCCTGTCAACCTATATGACTTTTTCTTTTCTTTTTTTTTTTTTTTTTGACACCACCAAACTATATATTTATAATGATAATTAACATCTATATTCAACCTAGAAGCAACAATTGAATTATTTGGATTTTCTTTTCTTTCTTTTTTTATTTTTATTTTTATTTTTTATTTTTTCCTTTTTTGGAAGTTAAATTATTTGGATACTGGTTGCAAGGGAAAGCTTGAATGCTACAGATAAAAAGAAAAATAAAGGCTGAATCAGTTATGGGCCCGGTTCATTTGACTACCAAATGGTAAATGTTTAAATAATCAAATTTTAAAAAAATTCTAACCCAAATCTAATAATCATCTACGAATGGTTCAACATCTGTGAGATAATTAAACATGGTATGAATATATTTAGAGTAAAATTTTAAATATTATTGGAACTCCAAACAACAATATAATATATTTAGAGACAGCTACAAATATATGGAGTTTTGTAAAGCTACTTTCAATTGATGGAGTCAATGTCAAGACTACCCCTCTTCCCGAAAGCTTCGCAACCCTTTTTAAAATTATGTATGTGTGTGTGTGTGTGTGTGTGTGTATGTGCGCTCTTTTTACATAAACATGTCTCACCCACTATGACTTAGTGGTAATCAAGAGGAAACAGTCTCAAAGATCTATACTTTCTTTTACATGTGTAAAACTATACATACACACACACACACACACACACACATATATATATATGAAAATTAATGGCTTTAAAAAAATATACGTTTGTTGATTAGTCATACTAATTAATGAAATAGTAATCATTATTATAGTGCCGTTTTGTCAACCGGCCCTCGTTGCCACCAATGTTTCTAAATTGCATCTCCGCATTCATAAGAATCAAACCAGTCTCAACTGGTTTAGCTTAGAGATCAAAATGATGAAACATTCCATTGTATTTTATGTTCTCCTCTTTCTTCATGTCTTTGGCTCATTTGCGCAACACCAGGTTCAATATTGCTTATTTTTATATATTTTTCAATTCCATATATTTATACACTTTAATTTTGTGAGATATATATATAATTGCAGGTTTATATAGTATATGTTGGAGAACATAGTGGGGAGAAAACGTTACATGAAATTGAAGAAGCCCATCACTCGTATCTTCTCTCGGTAAAGAATTCTAAGGAAGAAGCAAAAGCTGCTCTTATTTACAGTTACAAGAACATCATTAATGGCTTCTCAGCATTGCTCACCCCAGATGAAGCTGCCAAGTTATCAGGTATATACATACTTACGTAATATACATATATGTTGAGTTGTAGCCGGAATATTTTTTTTGTTCTTTACATATTGAAATCTCTCCGCGTAGATGGGGACCTGGGGTACGACACCGGTGTCGGACACCTGTCCGACACTCCAAAAACGTATCTGCATTTTTTATTTTATTTTTTCACAAATTGGACTTGCGGAGGACACGCGATGACATGCCAGGAAAATATATACTGTTGGAAAAATAACTCCTTCCAACTCACTCAACAATCGACTTTTGTTGAGAGTTAAATCCCTCCTTCTTTCTAAAATCTTATTCCTTCTTTCTAAAATCTTATTTTCTTATTTCCTTTACAAACCTTTCACAGCCATCGTCTTGGACCATGCTTTCTGATTCTTTAACATTTCTTGTTTCCCACTTTCTTTTGCTTTTGTCTTTTTCACACAACTTTTCTAGAAGCTCACATTAACTTTTTTTTTTTTTTTTTCATTAGATTAATTTTAGCCACATTTCTAACAATCTCCACCCGGACTAAAATTCATCTTCAAGTGATTTTCCATAATTCCACCTCAAATGAAGATCACTCCATCTCGAACAAAACTTCATCCCCATTGGTATTCAATTGCTCACGATCATCCTCGATCTGCTCTGTCACTCTTCACATCAATCTTCTACTTTGATCTTCAGGATCAACTACAGGCTTTGACCTATCATCGGCTTTGATACTAATTATTGAGAAAATAATTTCCTCCAACTCACTCAACGATTGATTGTTATTGAGAGTTAAATCCCTCCTCCGCCGTACGTTTCTCAAATCTTATTTTTTTATTGCCTTTACAAACCTTTCACAGCCATCATCTTGGACCATGCTTTCTCATTCTTTAACATTTCTCGTTTTCCCACTTTCTTTTGCTTTTGTCTTTTTCACACAACTTTTCTAGAAGCACACATTAACTTTTCTTTTTCCCTCATTAGATTAATTTTAGCCACATTTCTAACATATACATATATATCTGAGCAATATGAAGTCATGAGGATAGTTGGAAGAGAGAGAAAGGAAAGGGAGCGATGAATGAAATTCAGAGGACCACTAAGGCTTTTAGGCTATGCATTTTAATATATATATATATATATATATACATACAGGTTGGTTCTTATACGGTTCAAAAGAACGAATTTTTCAGCGGATCAATAGTCAAATAATCAATTACACGTTATTACTTTATCAGACTTAACCATAGTTAATATTTGTTACTTTAATAATCAATTTACCGTAATTAGTCAATACATTTATTCAATCTTTCTCCTCCTTAATCTCTTCCATCTTCCTTCCAATCTCCAACAATCAATTTGTAATCATTGCTTATGAAAAAATCCCCCTAAATTGAAAAGAAAAAAAATTAAAAGAGAAAAAAATTTAAAAAGCTTATTCACTAACCCCAAAAAATTGGTATCTTTTGAGCCTATGAAAAAAACTTATTCAGTAATTATTTCACACTTCGTTCTCAATTTGCTCTTTTAACTCATCAATGCGATCTTAGTTATTTTCGATTAGAAATTGAGCATCATTCAGAAACTAATTTAAAGATTGTCCCACGTGTATCTAGAGTACAGAAAACCAATTGGCATATTGGAAACATATGATAGATTAATGGCATGAGAAGGAGTTTCCAATTTACATTACAAATTGATAAATAAGGTATAGTTTGATATACCTGTAACGATCCAAAATGATACCAAAAATATAATAATAATAATAATAGAATAAATAAAATTTCAGCATGACCTCCACCGTAAAAGTCCCTCTACAACCTGTTGAAATACATAAAAAAATGCAATGGCCCCATTGGGCCTCAAAACAATCTATCATGTTCTAACGCACAAATACAATAATATACAACATCCCCAAAATCAACACATACATATAAAATGTCTCGTTCCTCCATCACATACAAACAAGGAATCTCTTTAATTAAGTTACAATCTATGAAATATATTTATTTACACAATTCTACCATTACAACATTATACAAGTTACACTTAATTTTTATAAAAGGTACATGATCATATTTCTATATAAAAGACAACAAAATAAGAGTTCTAGTCCAGTCTTAATTTACGATGCGCTGTCGCCCGCCCTGTAATTAACGACCCGAACCCGAGGGTCCGAATCGCTAACCAGGTCCTTACCCGAACCCGAGGTCAACTAAAGACGTTACCGTCATTTCCTATGGTAGTACATAATATACGTGTCATCCTAGGGTTTATAAATAATAATAATAATAAAATGAGACCATACCTACAAAATAGGTCAAACAGTCCACTAACCCATCAAAACCTGTGGAAGAGCGTCATTCACCACTTCCTTTCCGTATCTTGAAAAATGTTAAAATAATGGGGTGAGCTAAACACTCAGTAAGAAGTGTCTAAGACACACTTCTTACAACCCCGTGAATCCACATAAGGAATAGAATACAAGTAAATGGGATCATGTCTTGGGGAAAACAAGTAAAACAACGATAATATCAACAAATATATACGCAAGTCGTCTAACCACCAAATGTACAATGTATGCAAATGAAATGCCTTGCCATGCCATGTCGCTTTCCATTTCCGAAACAATACCGTTTCAACTTCTAAACCGTTAGTGCAATCCGACCCAAGGCACCTCCAATGCGTCACGAATGGAGGATTGACTAACTATCCACGACCACAAGGCACCTCCAAGGCATCGAATCCGGCCTAGTTAGCTCAACCATACTCCCTTCTAGATTACACTAACTACACGGACCGCTAGGCACTTCCTAGGCGTCCGGTTTTCACAAACACTTTTCAAAAAAAACTTTTTCCAAAAACAATTTCATTTGTTTTTAAAACAAACTTTTCCCTTTACTTTCTCAATGGTAATGCATGAATTATGCAAATCCTTCAATGCCATGACAATATAGAAATCTCATTCACATCATTCAAGCATGTTTAAAACATGAATTTTCACACAATATCACATTCTCATATTTCTAAATCATGGCATTTTACATACTTTCAATTCGCAAATCCAACAACTTAAATACATAAGGTATAAAACAAAGTCATTTATTTTCATAACTACAACATCACTTTTCATAGTAATTTAAAATCATAGGACATATAATACATCAATACTAAGCATGCTTCTTCACCACAAGAATTTAATCATATTCATAAGTTCACTTAACACATAACATGTCTTTATCACCTTAAATACCAACAACCACAACAAACATAATCAAGATAATTATAATTAAGCATGCTTAGAGTCAAATTAAAGGAAAAATTCACAAGAAATCTAAGAAATTGTGGATTAGAGCACCCTTACCTCAAGAAATGAAGAAAACCCTATTTTCAGCCCAAAAATTGAATTCCAAAGGGTGACCAAATTGAACTTTGCTCCGATCAAAATAACGGCCTCAACGAGCTCTCCAATATTGCCTTAAGAGGTACTATCAAATTCACAAAGGGTAAGGCTAGATCAAGCCTTGAATTTGTGGCAAAAGAAAAAGAAAAAAATGCAAGACATGAGGGAGAGAGATAATCTGCCGAGAGAGAGAAAATGGGTTTCATTTGTAATGGCTTAAAAGAATGAGGTGGGTCCCACTCACTTTTTTAAAAAAAAAATATCACCTCTAACTTTATTATATATATATATACACATTATTCACTTACCACCACACATACATATATATAAATATATAAAAATCACAAATATTACACACCCATTCTTTTTCCAAACCTGAAAAATGTTAAAATAATGGGGTGAGCATAAGCTCAGTAAGAAGTGTCTAAGACACATCTCTTATGATCCCGTGAATCCACGTATAGAATAGAAAACATGAGAACGAGATCATACTATACTGGGAATGTAAACCATACCCACGACATCCAATATAAACACAAATATCATTCAAGTCAGAAATACACCATGTATGCCAATGAAGTGCAATGCCATGCTCATATCGCTCCCCATTTCCGAAACAATTCCGTTTTAACTTCCAAATCGTTAGTATAATCCGACCCAAGGCACCTCCAAGGCGTTACAAGGGAGGGGTTAGTTAGTCTTCCCCGACCACATGGCACCTCCATGGCGTCATCTGGGTAGCTCAACCACACTAGAGTCTCTCTCTAACCCCCTCTAGATCACACTAACATCATGGACCATTAGGCGCCTCTTAGGTATTAGGGTTTTCGTAAACACTTTCCAAAAAAAAAACATTTTCCCAAAATCATTTTATTTGCTGTCAAAACAGTTTTTCCCATTTTCCTTTCCCAATGGATGCATGAATGTTTCATGCTTCTAAACACAATTCAACAATAAAATTCTACATGCTCTTCAACATCGTCATCATTTTTTTTTTTTTTGATAGAAAATTCTAAACAATTATTTCATAACCACAACATCAATTTCCATAGCAATTGAGAATTTACAAGTCACACAATATACCAAAATTAAGCATGCTTCCTCACACTAATGTAAATAGTCATGTATATAACCCAATTAGCATGTAAAACATATCCATCATTTTGAGCACATACAACCACAATAGTAATGAACAAGATAATTAAAAATTAAGCATGCTTAAGGTCAATTTAAAGAGGAAAACTCACAAAAATCCAAGAAGTCATGGATTACAACACCCCTACCTCAAATTGATGAAAAGCCCCATTTTCCCTAAGTCCAAGCTCTAAAATTTCGAAACCCCAAGGTGCACCAAATGAGGAATTGCTCCGATCAAATCGAAGATCATGATGCGCTCTTTAATTTGCCGCAAATGGCACTTAAAAACTCCAAAAGACGAAGAAGAGATCAAAGTTTGAATCTTTGATGAGAAAAAGAAAAAAAAAAAAAAAAATTCAAGAAATGAGGGAGAGAGAGAATACCTACGGGAGAGAGAGAAAATGGAGACCAAACTTGGTCTCTAATGCCTTTAAGGATAAGTGGTGGGTCCCACCATTATACCTTTTTAAATAAAATTCTCTTTTTTTTTTTCTTTTTTTTTTTCTCTTTTTCTACACCACAACTATATATATGTAAAAAAATAAAAAAATAAAAAAAAAAATTCACAAACATTACAATACCTGTGCATGAATTGCTGGGCATGTAGTATTAAAGTTCTTGTTAATGATGATCTAAATTAGAGAAACTGTGAAGTGGTAAATGGGGGGGGGGGGGGGGGGGGGGGTTATGTGCACTTGATATGGCCTCGCCAAAATGTTTCTGCATGATAATTTTCAACCACCGAAAAAAGTAAAAAAGAAGTTGAGTAATAGAAATAGTTTTTGAGATATTTTAAAATTTTGAACGTCGATTTTCTATACCATAAACTATTTTCAAAATTGGGATGATGAGATTAGATATTTAATTGTATTTGTGCATAAAATTTGAAGGAAATTATAATGTGTGAAAACGTAAATGGGAATGAAAACGAGCAAATTACTAGAATAAAAATATGGAGATATTTCTTATTTATGTCTTAGAAAATCTAAATTTGAAGATCTTTTATTGTTTCCATACCAGAATTAAGCAATATATACTTTCTGTTTGAGACTCCATTATTGAATAAAGGTATTGGCTAATTATGGTAAATTGACTATTAAGGTAACAAATATTAACTACGGTTATATCTGATAAAGTAATAACGTATTGACTATTTGACTATTGGTCCACTGAAAAATCCGTTCTTTTGGACCGCATGCCTTCCTGACCTATATATGCTGCATTTTATATATTTTTATTTGAGTAAAAATTAAAATTAATATATATATATATTATTAGTTTATTGTCGTGTCCTATTTATCATATCGCCCATCGGTGTCTTATCGTACCTGTGTTCCGTATCCATGCTTCATAGGTTCTATGTCAACCCAAATAAATCTTTGCTTATAATATGAACGTTTACATATACTATGTATGTAAATATATTTGTGCTATTTATGTATGTATGTATTTTTGTATTTGATGTGGTGCTTAATTAGTGCTTGTTTAACAGAGAAGGAAGAAGTGATCTCAGTGTTTCGAAGCCATCCAAGAAGATACAGTCTTCAAACCACAAGATCATGGGATTTTGTAAACTCACTTGAAGCAACAGCAGATTCATTGAACTATACAAATAAATTCGGAGAGTTACTACATAAGGCAAATTATGGAAAAGATGTCATTGTTGGGCTCTTGGATAGTGGTAATCTCAATTAAATGAAATTATGGCAGTTGTACATTCTTCAGTTTGCATTCTATGTCCCTTTTTCTTTCACTAAATCATGAATAATTGTTTTAAAACCAGATTGCATACAAATAGTGAAACAGCCAATTAATACCTTGGGTCAGGTTGGTGAAAGTCGGAGCTTTGCCCGACCCATGTGGAAGAAACACCTTACACCGTTATTCTAAGAATTTAATCGGGGGCAAAACCCCAAATGTGAAAAATATATCATTGAGTTACAATTCTGGGTGATTGTTGCATGTTAGTTATTTTTGTTTTGCATCAAATTCAGATGGAGAGGATCTTGGATTTTTTAAGGGTGGGTAGGCATACCTAATAACTTATATTTTTTGGTCAAATGGCGAGTGCCCGACCCATTATAAGTGTTATATTAGAACAAATTCAATTCTTGATCCGACTAGGGAGAGATAAATAGACAAGATGGTCCAACTCAAAAAGATAAAATACCACTAGATTAGAATCTCTTGTGGTGATTGTAATATATATTTAAGACTACAAAACATTAGTTTGAAAAGGAAGAGTTTCGTGTGTGTGTATATATGAATTTTTATGTTTTGATCGATGTTTAACAAGGCAAAGTTGCAAGCCTCTTCAATTTATTTTCCCGTTTAGAAGTGGAAACATGGCTTCAAAAGTGGCTATAACTTTCTTCACGGTGATGTATATTGATCGAGGGCTATAACATATTATACTACTAATTTTTATTGTGTGATGACACTGTGTTTGTTGTACAAGGGGTATGGCCAGAGTCCCAAAGTTTCAGCGATGAAGGGATGGAACTCATTCCAAATTCATGGAAAGGAATCTGCCAACATGGAGTTGCCTTTAACCAATCTCATTGCAACAGGTGAATTTTCATTCTTTCACGCGCGCGCACACATATATATGCCCCATTTTAGTTCTTAACTCAAAGTTGGAAAATCAAGCCATAGAACAGAGATTGCTATTATTTATTCTTCATTATTAATTATTTGGGTGTTCAAGGACCATTTTTCCATTATTTTCCCTTCTTGTAACATTGAGAAAATATGGGATATTAAATGTTTTTGGTTCTATTTAGTTTTCTTAAATTACTCTTGTAAGGCCCCTTAAACTGATACCAAATTCAAAAAAAAAAAAAAAAATTTCGGCATGACCTCCCCTAAAAAGGGTCCTATCCCAACCTGTTCAAATGAAAAAAAATGCGATGGCCTTTCAAGACCTATCCAACCTGTCCCAACACACAATACAAAAAAAATATAATACATTCCCCAATACCACAACATCAACAACCTCCCCAAGTTAGCCCATCATCGTCATCCCATTCAACTTAAGCATTTACATAGTCTTGTTGCCCTTCAAAATATCAACAAGAGTTATGATTTATAATACATGACCTTGTCTTGCAAAAATGAATACATGACATTTTAGTTTTGAGACTATACAAAAAAAAATGGGCGAAGATACAAAAGATAACAAAATACAACTCCTAATCTTCTTCAAGCTTGCGGGGGATTTTCATCCGCCACTTCTTTCCTATTTCCTGAAAAAAAAAAAAAAAAAAAAAAAAAAAAAAAAAAAAAAAAAGAAGAAGTTAAATAAATGGGGTGAGCATATTGCTCAGTAGGTGGCATCTAAGACACAGCTCTTGTGTCCCCGTGAATTCATACAAAGAATAGAGTAATAGAAATTGGGGTCATACTATGTCGGAAAAATACAACATCACATCCAAACTCAACATCAACAATACAATACAATGGAATGCAATGCGTGTCAAATGTTGCTCCCCATTTTCAAAATCATTCATCTTCACTTTCCAAACTGTTAATGTAACCCCCTTTGGTACTCCCGCAGCGCCGAGAGAAGGATTAGCTACTGTCCCTAGACCTTTGGTGACTCCGCAGCGTCATCGAGGGGCCCAGATAGCTCAACCACGTTAGGGCAATCTCCCTAATTCTCTCTAGGATACATTAACCTACCGGCCCGTTGGTGACTCCGCAGCGACCGGGTTTTCTCAAAATTCTTTTTATCAAAAACTTATTTCCCAAAATTCCCTTTTTTTGTTTTCAAAACATTTTCCCTTTTTCCTTCATGCCCAATGCCACGGATGCATAATGCACACTCATTTTATACTATGGAAATGGAGGGAACTATCATTACCCAATTAACATAGATCCACACAAATTTCCTGACAATTTATCAATCATCATAGTCATGGAAAATTCACATATCAAGCATGCTCTACACATAAATTAACAATTACACATATATAGGCATAATTTTCTAATTCAACAATTGTATCACTTTCACGGTCATTAATTTAAATAAGGCGTACTTTCCACATGACAAATTCTACCAAGTTACAAACACACAAGCATGTAAAATCAATATCTAAACATGTTTATTTCACAAATCTACATATACACATAAATATGAATCTCACATACAAAATCACATCATTTTAGAGGCAATCAACTTAATTAAACATGTTAATCATCAATTTAATCACATTTAACGACAATTAACAAGGAATAACTCACAAGGGAGCAAGAACACATGGATTAGGAACCCCTACCTCTTAAAATGCAAAAACCCTCAAAGTGGGTCTCAAAATTCAAACTCCAAAGGGTGCACGAAATCTGCAATTGCTGGTATAGATGTGTGGAGTTCGTCGTGGGCTTTGTTTTGCCTCAAACGACACCTTAATCCGGCATGAAATGAGAAAGCAATCTTGTTTCAAAGATTGGTTGTCAAGTGGAAGAAAAATGAGAAGAGAAACTGAGAGGAAAAGAATTGGACGGGGAGAGAGAAAGAAATGAAGGGAAAATGGTCTCTAGCCCATAAATTGGGTAGTGGTGGGTCCCACCACTATCCTTTGACTTTTTCTTTTTTCATTTGATTTAATTTACTCCACGTATGAATACATAATGCACCACCATGCAAATACTACATAAGTTACATGAAAATAAATACACCAAAAACAATTGGACTCAACCAAAATCCCACGCGTAAAAGTGAAATGACCAAAATACCCTTGCGGCAACAAAATCCCAAAAAATTGAAAAAAGGCTGAAAATCGGAAACGTTACAACTCTTCCCATTCTCAATCACACACACAATTAACAAAAGAATCAACCTTTAGGTGCAAAAAGTGCATAGAAAGATTGCATAATCATTTGTAGGGAATGTAATTTAGGGCTAGAGTAAAAAATACACAGATACATACATCTGAAGTGTTGTTTATTACAAATTGATGTACCGCAATTGAAGACTTTGTAAGACGAACTACACATGAATATTCATAAATTGATGGAAAACAAACACAAAAGTGGGAAAACGATTTCAAAAGATGCTTATTAAGTTAGAGTTAATTCATATGATATGAAAAGGAAATGGGTAGAGTCAGTGTAACATCAATCAAGATAACCTTGTGTTTGGAAGCACCGGGTTGACACATTGGAATTGAAATTGGAGAAAATTCAATTTGAACTTTAAAATAAACCTACTCCAATTCCAAATCCAACGCGCTGTTTTAGTGCTCCCAAACATAGCCTAAAGTGTATTTGAGACGAAGAGCTAGAGACTACACCAATTACTGAATGATCAAGATGCTAATGGAAGACACTGATAGCCTATGATACATGAAATTAAAAACAATATGGTTGTAGATGGACAAAAGTATCAAAACTATCCACTTTTAAAAACATTCATTTTTCTAAGTCATACTATTTGAACTATCTATTTCGTGTGAATGTTATTGCAGAGTATTAGCAGGTGATATATACTATTTAAACTATGTATTTTGTGTGAATATTGTTGCAGAAAATTAATAGATGATAGATACTACTATTTAAACTATGTATTTTGTGCGAATGTTATTGCAGAAAATTAATAGGTGCTAGATACTATTTAAAGGGTTATGAAGCATACTATGGTCGTCTCAACGGTACAGAGGACTATAGGTCACCCCGTGACAAGAATGGCCATGGAAGCCACACGGCCTCCACTGTTGGAGGCCGACAAGTTCCTAACGTTTCAGTCTTTAATGGATTAGCCAATGGCACAGCCTCCGGTGGTGCCCCACTTGTGCGTCTTGCCATCTACAAAGTGTGTTGGCCGATCCCAGGGGAGCCTAAAGTGAATGGTAACACCTGTTTTGGTGAAGACATGATTGCAGCCTTTGATGATGCCATTGCCGATGGTGTTGATGTGCTCAGCATCTCCATCGTGCCATTCGATCTTACTCCATACACAGAAGATGCGATTGCAATTGGGGCATTTCATGCCTTGAAACAAAACATAGTAGTGGCATGTAGTGCTGGCAATGCTGGCCCTGCCCCATCAACTGTCAAAAATGTGGCACCATGGATCATCACTGTTGGCGCAAGTAGCATAGACCGAGTCTTTAGCTCGCCTGTTGTGTTAGGAAATGGCATAAAAATTGAGGTAACACTCGCTCATAACACAGATTCTCATGATCAAAGCTCCAATGGAACAATAAAAGCACTTTTATGAACATTTTATTACTTTTCATTCCTAGATTTTCATTTTTTCTTTTCTTTTTTTTTTTTTTGTTCTGTGATATAATAATAGGGACAGACAATAACCCCATATAAGTTGAACAATATGTACCCACTAGTCTATGCAGGAAATGCAGAACTTCCTGGCGCAATCAAGAATCAAACAATGGGGTAAATATTCATTTGCCTTTGTTTTTGATTTTTTATTTATTATTTTGTATTGCTAATGACTTGATCTTGAATTTGTATCTTCAGACTATGCCTTCCTGGTAGCCTCTCACCGGATTTAGTGAAAGGAAAGGTTGTTTTTTGCTTGAGTGGATTCACAGCAAACACTGAAAAGGGTTTGGAGGTGAAAAGAGCTGGGGGTGTTGGTATGATCCTCGAGAACCCTAAGAATGGCATTGGAATATCAGTTGATGCTCATCTACTCCCTGGAACAGCAATATTTTCCAATGATTCAGCTACGATTCTCAATTACATAAACACGGATAAGAATCCAATCGCAACAATAATCCCAGCGCAAACAGTTCTGAACTCGAAACCTGCACCATTCATGGCAGCCTTTTCCTCAATCGGTCCAAATGGCCTTGATCCTAATGTTGTCAAGGTAATTTATATTACTAATTAGTGTTCATTTTGAAAGATTTAAATATTTAAGTTAAACCTTCTCTCACAGCTCAAACTTTTTAGAATAGATGGTGTTAACATGGTATCTAAATAGGCAAGGTCTTGATAATTAAAACATGGTATCTGAATAGGCAAGGTCCTGATAATTAAAATTGAAACACGTGTTGAACTGAAAGAGGGCCACATGTGAGAAGTAACAGGGAAGGGGGCCCCCCCTAATTTTTTTTATTTTTTTTTTTTTTTGATGTAGGTGCAAATAAAATAGTATAGCATATATGGTATAAAATCTATACTTTGCCTAAGAGAATTTTTTTTCTTTCTTTAATTAGCATTTAACAAAATATAGTTTATATATAATCTAAAATAAGTGATTTAATTGACGACTATAGAACCTCGATAAAAATTTAATGTGGCTATCTACATGATACGTTCCATCACTTCTTTTTTTCTTTTTATTTATTTTTATTGGAATGCTTTTATAAAAATTCTATAAGAAATTAGTTTTTACAAAATCTAGAACAAAAATTTCATTTGAAGTTTTGAATATCAACAAAAATCGATGATTTAAGAATCTAAATTCTTATTTTATTAATTTATTTGTGTTTTTTTTTTTATCATTGTTATTGTTTTGTTAAATTTTTAATTTTTTTTATTTTTTTTTTCTTTTCGGTAAATAAAGAGAGTTATTTAATTGAATTTTTTTTATATAATTTTGGAATAAATCTTATTTGCGTTTGTTCAGAAAGTTTGATAAAAAATTTATTTAAATAACTAGTTTTTTTTTTTTTAGATAGATATATTTTTGTATGAATATAATAAATAGTAAAATATTTTTGCCTACATAATATTTTTTTTTTTTCAAAAGTTCTAGTTAGGTAATGTTGTTTATAATTTTGGCCCCCCAACCTCAAAATCCTGGCTCTGCCTCTAAACAGTAACATAACAAAATAAGGAAAGAAATGCTAAAACATATGTCTATACAACAATCAGTCTTGACAATACTTGTTAGGGTCTTGTGAACCATTCATTTGCAACTACAAAATCATTTTTCCACCTTAATTTGGATATCATTAATATCTAATCCTTCTTCCTAAATCAATTCCTTTTTGAAGAAGAAGAATATTTATTTTAACAACATATCACTTGTATTTAAATTTAACGATCACCAACTTAATTGGTTTTGTGATTTCACATTTAATGATTGCTTACTTGATTATTTGCAGCCCGACATTACTGCTCCGGGATTAGATATCTTGGCAGCATGGAGTGAGGAATCCTCTCCCACATATTTAGCTGATGATCATCGAGTAGTCAAGTACAACATTCTCTCTGGCACTTCCATGTCCTGCCCTCATGTGGCTGCTGCAGCTGCACTTGTCAAAGCCATACACCCCGATTGGAGCGGCTCTGCTATAAAATCCGCTCTAGTGACCACTGGTACAAACATATCTATATTTGAACATATGCAAATGCAAGTGATTGCGCCTTTTAGGGTCGTTTGTCACTAATAAAACAGTACTCAAGAAAAGAGAAAAAAAAAAAAATTATTTTCAGATAATTATAAAAGATAGTTTTTAGAAACTGTCTACCAAGCAGGCAGGATTGTCACGGGCTAATTGTTAGAGTTGTGTGTGTAACTAGGCCACTATTTCCAACACTAATTGTGTTGATTTTATTTATTTATTTATTTTTTGGCAGCTGGGGTAAACAATAACATGGGGACCCAGATGACAGATGCATTAGGAAATCCCGCGACTCCATTCCACTATGGAGCTGGCCATTTCCAACCAACAAAAGCAGCTGATCCTGGTCTTGTGTACGACGCCACTTACATTGACTACCTTCCCTTCCTTTGCAATAGTAGTGGTGTCAATAAATTTGATCCATCATTTCAGTGTCCAGAGCAATTGCCTTCATCAAGCAATCTAAACTATCCTTCTCTTGCAATTGCCGGACTCAATGGCACGATGACTGTGAACAGGACTGTCACAAATGTCGGTGGCAATGGAGGTGTGTACACCTTGACAATCGAAAAACCAGTTGGATATATGGTAGAGATCTCTCCAACAATTTTACAATTTAACCATTTGGGGGAGAAGAAGAAGTTCACCATTACAGTCAAAGAAGAAAGTGGGATGAATAAAACAGGTGAATATGCATTTGGTTGGTATGTGTGGAGTGATGGGATTCATATAGTAAAAAGTCCCATTGCAGTGTCCTCAGCATAGCTTCTAGCTTTTCTTTATCTTTCTTATTTCTTCTGTTATTTTCAATTTTTTTCCCCAAGGAATATATATAAATAGAAATATTTTCAATTCTTTTTTATTGGTGTTAATTTTCTTCATGTTATGGAGATTCAAGTCTTTTTTTTTTTTTTCAATCATCCCAATTTTATTATTGTTCATCTTAGCTCATAATGGTTTAGGATCACCTTCATTTGTATATTAAAACTAATGGCCCAAACAAGCCGTGTAAAACATTGGGCAATTACAAAGGACCCTAGAGAGGCCCAAAAACTACTGAGAACCCATAAAAGGAAAATATATTTAACTGAAGCCCAAGCCCAATATATACACACACACACACACATATATATATATATAAACTGAAATTATGTTCAATCACCTTCCAAAAAAAAAAAGAAGAAAGAAATTATGTTCAATCTTATGGGGGTTTATCTTTGAAAAAACTACTCAATTGGCTCAAGAGTCAAGACACCACTTTTGTACGCAGGCGTACCACCTTTAGTACGTCTTTAAAGGGTTATAAGAATAATTTGGTCATTGTCTTTAGATGACCAATATGAATATTCATATAATTTTAAATATTTAATTTTATTTGACAATTTTTTTTTCAAGTAGAATATTTTTATTTTTTTATTTTTTGATAAAAATTTAGGTCAAAGTTAAGATCTAATTCATCTGGTATAATATATAAAATAACTTGTTAAAAATTGATAAATAATTTTTTTTTGATTAAATTTTAATATTTTCTTTTCTCCTTAAATACTTTAAAACAACCAAATACTAAAAAATAAAAGTTTTAAGTTTTAAAATATTTTACACAAAATAAACAAATTACACTGAATTTTTAGCATTCAAAATAGCTGTAAAGTTGAGTATTAATTCTATCTTGACATTAACATTGACATTGACATTGACATTCTAGCTGCAATAGTTCCTGGTTTTTAGTCATTCAAGACTCAAGTGATGAAGCTGACCCTACCGCCACTAGTTGTAGTACACAACTTAAACACCATCTGTACTACCACCACCACCTATAAAACCACCTCTTTCTCACCAATGCCACCATAACTCAAGACATTATTGTCGCTGTGTCACCACCACCACTTTCACTGTTACAACCACCATCAATCATTTGCTACCACCACCACTCGGGATTTTATTCTTTATATAGTTTGATTTTGAAATATCAATTATGAAATAAATGATTTTTTTTTTTCATTTTTTTAAATGATTTCCAATTTGAAGCCAAAATTATTTTTTGAAAAATCTTTTACATGTGCAAAAATTTTACTCCGTACATAAAAAAAAAAGTGTTTTATGCCAAAAATATATTTTACACATTAGTATTTGAATTAACTATCTTCAAAAACATATTTACCATTACATTAAGAAAATTTCAAAAATTATCGGTACCAATTACCAAGACACCTGATTGATTAGTTGGGTGTCGACAAGTATTAGCAGAATACTCTACTATCAAAAATGATTTTTATAACAATTATATATCAAAATTACCTGATCAATTAGTCGGGTCTGGACATTAATGCTAATAAAAATGCTCTTTGTTTCAAATATACATATATATATAAATAAATAAATAAAAGCAAGTTTTTGGGGATGATTTAATTTTTGAAGTAACAGTTATAAATCACATAATTTTGGAGAGTCCACAAAAAGATGTACGTTAACATAACTCTCATCAAACAATACAACCAAGTACCAACCAACCACTTTGAATCAATTTGTCGACCGCTTTTTCTGACTTCATCACAAAATTCATGTTGACAACTGCGGACCTAGCTAGTTGCTATTTTTAAAGTGTTGTTGAACAACTTTTTTAACTTTCATTTCAATTTATCACATGCATATATTACCATGCTAATTATACAACATTATCCAAACAAAAGGTTTGTCTTACCTTTTTCTCAACATACTTTCCTTGTCTTATTCTATCAAAATTATTTTTTAAAAAAAAAAAAAACTGAGTTTATTTATATATTATTCACTGAAAATTGAGATTTGCAAAAAATAAATAAATTTTGAAGAGTGAAAATTACAATTCTGATGACTGATTTATGTCACTACGAATGATCTTATCGTGATATTATTAATATTTTTGACTTCATGCAACTGATTAATGATTACATATCTCTACCATTTTTATATAAAATAAATAAATAAATAAGCAAACTAATAGTATTTCTGAAACTTAATTAGTTGTCAACTGGAGTATCTTTCTTAAATTTATATATATATATATACACACATTTCAACTTATCTAACTTCTAGTGTTGATTTTGACACTAAGTTTGGAACCCAAATTAAGCAAGCTAACGCGTCCATTCGCCGAATCTTATAAAGTCGAAATTAAACAGTGATTATAGGGTTTAGTGGATAAGATTGAAGTGATTATTATAATAGTATATCATATAAGTTAACATAATTTCAATATCTTGAAATCATGTAAAGAAACGATTGCAAGAAAGTGACCCTTCCAAGCCATTTGTATCATATGTTTAATAATGCGTGTGTAGTCATTTTCTTCAAAAAGCACATTTACACGCAATTACCAAATTAAGGATAAAACCTTCCTCACATGCGTCACTTTTCTGTTCGACCACCTCGATCTCTCTAAAAAGTAAAACGCCCCTCTCTCTCTCTCTATATATATATATATATATATGTATGTGTATATAAAAGTATATATGTGTTGTTTGCTCCCTAATGGGAAATATAAGTATATATGTGTTGTTTGCTCCCTAATAGGAGACTTCTACATGTATAATTCTATATGATTAAACTATGAGAAAAACAAGGGGTGGAGCCAGGATTGCAAGATTGCAAAATAGAGTGGACTAAAGATAAGAAAATTTAAAGATGAAGACAATAAAAGTTGTGTAATATTAAAAAAATTTCTTGTAAAAGTGAAATATGGTAATATGGTCTTATTTTCATATCCAAGTAACTAGATTATGAAATTAATCATATTTTACTGAAGATCTGATCCAAAAGGACCTAGAAACCCAATTTACTAAGTTTAGATCTTAACTTAAAATCAGGTATAAAAACATTTTTGTTATCCATCATCAAAGTATTCATTGGAATTCGTTTTCCGGTAAAAATAAAATAAAAATTATCCAATTGAATCTTGAAGATCCATTCAACTATTAATTGATAAAGGTGTTTAGATTTTGAAATAAAACTGTCCATGTTCTAGGGAATATGGGTTTAAGTCATAATTTAAATGAAAAGTTGGATGTTTTGTCACTTTTTAATAGTTGTAAACTTTTTGAATTATGGTTTTTAATTAGTATAAAAAATGCACTTGCTTAAGGGGGAAAAAATCAAAGATAAACACATGAACACTTCGAAGAAGAAGGACAGTAACAACATATAGCCCAGATAAATATATAAACAGTTAGGCTTATAGGTAAAGGAAAAGTAGTACTATAAATTAATTACATATGCACCGGACTTATATGTACAATAATATTAATTTTTTTTTTTTAAATTGGTATTAGGCTATAACCCAGTTAGCACATTAATAGTTCCTCCCTTGCGTGGAGCAACAGGCATTTCAAGCAGAGAATAATTGGGATTCCTTTTTGTGTGGTGTGTGACGGCATCGCAATATACGTGTCGGGATATGAGTGGTTTGTCGTGAGGGCAACTGGTTGGACCTCGGAAAAGGACGACGCGGACAAGAAGCCGACGGATGCGCCGAGCAGCCGCCTCGTCACTTTACTCCTACGCCTTCTATCCACTAATCATTAGATTGGCTACAGCTTTTTGGTGTTTTGTTTAGCTTAAGATATACGAGTATCAGCTCACCTCGGCTATATATCTATATATTATTGCTCATGTATTACTCTCTCTGTTAAACGATCTCCTGTTCAAAATTAATTTTAAAGCTGAGTTGTTAAGCAGAGCTAGAGTTCCAAAACCTACTTTTAATTAATCAACACGCGTCAAATATAGGAAAATGAGACTCTCTATTTCTTAATCACTTATATTAATGACCAATTAAAAGTATTCTGTCCAAATATTCTACCTACCTCTTTGACCCAAATATCACTATTCCTCTTTTATTACATGTCAATCAAAGTTATTGAGGAGTTAGTAAATATGTAAGAATAATGTAAACTTTATTAATTTTTTTTTTTTTTTTATTTTTTTTTATTAATGTGTCTAGTGTTAGTTGCTCGACCAATGATCCCGAACTCGTATAATAATTTATCATCTCTATTATACTTTTTCTGAATCATGTAATAATTTTTCCTCTCTATTACGCACCGATATAAAGACACATAAAAATAAAAAATAAAAAATAAAAATAAAAACCGAAAAAATCCTTAATACCCCTTAAAAATTAAAATTAATGTTTTTATTTTTATTTTTATTTTGTCTTAAGGGGCAATTTAAGTATTTTAATGTTGAAATTGATAAAAGTGTTTTTATTTGCTTAATTTGAAAAATGGTAGTGGGATTTTTTAACTTCGAAAGGGTATTTGCACATATATAAAAGGAGAATTTTTTTTTTTTTTGTTAACTGTACCCCCTGTATTAAATTGGGCTTCAATCCTCCAACAAGAAAAAATTTGTCTTGCATGGTGAAAGTCTTGCTTTGTACTTCCAAAGAAAAAAAAAACGTCTTTATTTATTGCATGTATAAAAAGTCTTAAGTGGCACACGCTTTACCAATTACAAACCTTTTACGAAGATGAAGAAAGTAAATTGTGCGACTTTGAAATATATCAACAAAGCCATCTACTTTTGTGGTATATCTTTCTAATATGATTTATAATTCTATACATCCTAAGCAAGTGCGTGTCAATATTATTATTATTATTATATATAGCTTCTTTCTTCGCTATGCGTGTCAATATTATTATTATTATTATTATATATAGCTTCTTTCTTCGCTATACATCTTAAAAAAAAAAAAAAAAAAAATGGGGGAAGAAATATGTGCGAATGGATAAACACATTTGACTTTTAACATTAATTGTGATGATTAAATATTGAGTTAATAATCATATTCTGATAACGACTTTCCATAATCCAGTAAATAAGCTTGCGTTTTGCCCTTCTCTTCCCACGTTATGGACTTTCCTCCATATATATATATATATATATATATATATAGTATACAAGACTGACCAATAATTGAGTAGCTTAAGCTGTTTTTAAAGTTTAATTAATCAATTAAACGTTGTTAAAGACCAATAATGATAAACGTTGGTTAATCAATTAGAAAATGGAACTTTTAATTTCATAATGATCATTTCATGTGAATCATGAGAAGAAGTTATCTAAATATATATCTTTAATATTTAATTTTTCAAAAGTTTAATTCAAAGAAAGGAACATAAACTTGCATTATTGTTTTAATGCGTGATGAGACATTTTGTGGAATTAAGTTAAGGATGACACCATTATATCACATACCAACCCACACAGGTTCAAACTTCCAACGTACCCCACCAATCTGTGGGTCCTCGTGGTGTAATATCCACCAAAGTAATAATGGTGCATTTATGGTGTCTTATCTGCAGAAGAAAAACGGAGGATGTTAGGGAGAATTAATTCGGTATGCTTTATGCACGGTGCATGGGTTATTAGGTAGTTCATTCTTACTTGCATTGTGAATGTATCAACGCGTGATGTGTACACACGATTTTGATATGCCCGGTACACCGAGTACATTTAATATTTATTTAGTGATTGAATGTTGTATGAGTGAAGACGTGTATTTCATTATATGATATTGTTCATGTGATATTTTATTAAGTATTTCTTTATTTAAAGAATGTATCATTGTATATATACAAAAAACCTTTTGCATTTATAATTTTAAACTAATCAATTAATATACATGCAAAACCCACTGCATTCTTTCAAGGAATTTGAAGTCCGGACATTTCATGACTTTTAAAGATGAGAACATACTACTAAGTCGGAACCTTTAGTAGTTTGTTCTTTTTTTCTTTTCTTTTTTTTAATTTATAAAAATCTCTTTATTATATTAATTATATGATAAAATAAAGAATTTGTATATTTGTTATAAAAAATAAAAAAATAAAAAAAACTACGGTTTAAGCAGATTTAGGGGTCTTAAATTACAAAGTAGTCAATTTTTAATGTTTATTTTTCACTTTAAATGAATTAACTATGTTATATAACATTTTAGAAATATTGATGATTTATTAGCCAAGTACAATTAAGAAAGAAAGAGATAGTAGATGTCTTGTCAATTTGTTGAAATAAGTTCAAAACTCTTGTAGATATCTATAATCTATGCATCATGTCCTATTTTTATGTAGAAGTTACAGGCAAACATTTGAACGAGTTTTTCAATATTGATAAAAATTAGAGATAAAACCTAATGCTTACTAATTTCTTAATCTAGCTTTCAAGATTTTCTTTTTCATATTAAAAGAGTTCTGTAAATATTTACACGCACACATTAATTTTTACAATGAGATTTAAAAATGAAAATTCTATAATTGACGATATTGTGATGACGAAAAAAAAAAAATAGAGATATATAGTGATGTACTCACACACTCTCATCACAAGTGTAACATTAATGTTGAAGAATATGTTATACACTAATTAAATACTTAATTCTGAATAAATTAAGCGCTTATTCAACTAAGTGATTTTGATATGACAATTTGAAGTAAAGTCACTTAAAATAAATTACAATTTTAAGTAACATGGTTATTACTTATTACTGAATGCTGAATATTAAGAAGTCAAAAAAATATTAAAAAAATATTTATTTTTTCATTATTATTTATAATTTTTATTACTTAAAATCAGCTTTTAAAATTTTCAATACTTAACTTTCAGTACTAAATTTATCTATCAAATAAACACCACCACACACGTGCATGAGACCATTCTTGTGAAATTAAGATAAAGATGGCATCTTTGTGTCTCCTAACAACCCATAGAAGAACTTTCCTACGTATCCCCACCAAAATTAATTGCGATGTGGCCCTCTGTGGTTTCCACAGACGACTCCTGGACTACAAATATATCACATTTCAATCTGCGGGTCCTCGTCAATAATCCACATTAAAGTAATAATGGTGCAATTATGGTCACATGCATGCATACCATTTTATATCTATTTATATTTAATCGTGGTATTCGAGTGATAAAATGTTTTTAAATTTATATTCTAATTCCTTTCTTCTTGTCACCTATGATCTTTAGATTTGAATCCATTTCTATCCTAATTTCCCTAATTACTAGCTCTCCCTGTTAGGAGGAAAAAAAAAATCAGCTAATCAATTAATATATAGTTTTAAAGATTTTTTTTAAATTAAAATATATGTACTGACTAAAAAATATTACACCCTCCGTCTCATATTAGTTGTAATTATATGAATTTTACTATAACTACTTTACTTTTAATTACTTATGTTGTTTTGCATTATTTAGTAAAGTCTATAAATGTATTTATTCAACTAAGTATATTTAATAACATAATTTATCAATGAATGTTTAAAATTTAAAAAGATATAAAACAAATATGCATTTATTAATTATTATTTAAAAACTTCAATATTTAAAATTCAACCCTTAAAATTTTTAATACTTAATTTTCAGTTTAATCTTGTTTAGAAGAAAAGAGGTATATCACAGGACTAATGACCCATTCATCATCATCATGGCCTTATTTTCATATAAATTATTGACTAATATCAATATTATTATTAACAAAGAAGCAAAATCTCAAAATTTTATAAAAAATTATATTAGTAAAGGAGTAAAACTAATTCATTTGGATAATAAAAACATCAAAAAAGAGAAATCATATTCGAATTTCACTTATCTAGTTCTTTTTTAATGAAATGACAAAATTACACTCCATAATTATAAAAAAAAAAAAAAAAATTGCATTCTACGTTCAATGTACGTATTTAATTAATATTGCACCATTTGAAATAGAGTATAGTAATAGTGAAAAATAAATATAAATAAGGACAGGTAACAAGTTAAAAAGACGTACAAGAATGAGGCAAATGAAACAGCCAAACGACAGGACAAAATCAAAGCCAAAATTAGTCAAAAGTCAATTCAATAATATAATTCAATAATCAATAATCAATAATCAATAGTTATGTGTTTGCTATTAACACAAGCTACAAGAAAACCGTGAGCCATAAGAAAAGGAGCTGTACAGGCAACCGAGTAACTTAGAGAGAGAAACAACAACTTAGAGAGAGAAAAATGAAGCGAACAAGTTAGCGGGGACCGCACACAAGTGATGACATGTGACGACACATCCAAAGTGTACTCACTACGATTCAGATTCCTCTCTTCCTATAAATGCCTCCCCATTTCCTCCCTTTTTCCAATTCTCAATCTCCAAACACCCCCCATTTATTTCTCTCTCTAATTTTCTATATCTTTTTTCCATACCCATTTTCCGATGGAAGAAGAATTCCAAGAATCCGAGGTGATTTTCCCGGAAAATGCAGAAACCAATAACGATGTGCACAACTTCTCAGCTCACTATTCGAATTCACGTGAACTGGGTAAGAATAAACCGAAGAGAAAGAAGAAAAAGAAGAGGAATTCACTTCCGGTGAATATCCCTGACGCTTTTGCTGAGAATTCGTGGTTTCAGTGCGTGGAATCGGACTTCTTCGACGACGAGTATGGCGACGACGGAGAGATGATTCCACCTCACGTCATCCTCGGCCGGAGAATCGCCGGAAAAATGGCGTTCTCGGTGTGCACCGGAAATGGGAGGACTCTGAAAGGAAGGGACTTGAGCGAAGTGAGGAATTCAATTCTGAGGATGACTGGTTTCCTCGAAACGTAACACCAATAATTTGTTTGGTAATCGACACACAAACCAGCAAAGGAAGGGAAATGTTCTACATGATTGTTTTTATTTATAATCTTATACATAGTCTCTCTGAATTCCCTCATTTGTTGTAACAGAAAACAAAATTGGAATTTGAAAACAAACCAGCAAAGGAAGGGAAATGTTCTACATGATTGTTTTTATTTATAATCTTATACATAGTCTCTGTGAATTCCCTCATTTGTTGTAACAGAAAACAAAATTGGAATTTGAAATTAAAATGTTTTTTTTTTTTTTTTCCGATGAATATATTTAGACTTAACTTAGTTGTATATAATTATATGTATAGTTGTATTTTGTTTTTATTTATTCATTCATTTATTTTTCTTTAAATTTATAGGTTTGTTATTGTGGTGCAGCTTAATAATACAGATGGGTGTTTTGGGTACCATGTGGTATTGCTTAAACACTGTTTCTTCAGATTCTATTTGGATTCGCAACATAACCAGCATGAACAGGGTGTTATATATATATATAGAGAGAGAGAGAGAGAGAGAGAGAGAGAGAGAGAGAGAGAGAGATTTGCTAGCAACTCATTGAGGCGTTGAGTTCATAGATTTAGACCCAAAGTTTTGGACTTGGATCGAACTAGGCAACTTGTTTAATGTTTAACGTAATGCTTTGAGAAGTCAATTTTGTCCTTGTTTGGGGAGAGTTTTTCATGAATAGTTTAAAGGGTAATTTTGACTTTAGTGACTTAATTGGGGAGGGGTGTCCTAGCCTGTTGGTCTGTGTATCCTAATCTGTAAGTTCATTTCGGTGCATCTTACTTTTTAAAATACTATTTGACTTAATCTTGTATTACAAAATATAATTAACATAAATAATATATGTTCATACTAGGAGAATCTCAACGTAATTTGAACATGTGATTTTCATATTATAAACTAATAAAATGAAAGTGGGTAATTTAGCTTTGATTTTTATTTTTTACACTGCATAACAACCTAAATCATAAATATCAAAGCAAATATTTTCCATAATATAAAAATAAATAATTGATAAAATTAAAGGGTCAGTTCATTTTTTCCCAAACGCTTAATCAATGAATTTTTGAATTAATAAAAGATCATTATCAATATGATTCAACTAATCGAGAGACTACTAAGAACATAGTCACTATAATGTAATATTTGTACTATACATGTAACATTTGTATTATTTGTAAAAATTGTTATATGTGTATACTTTCATGTGATCAAAAATATTTTGAAAAGCTCCCAGGGTCTTGACCGAGTTAGTAAGGTAACGACCTGAGAATGCTCATGTTATAGGTTTGAACCCGTCCATCGCCATTATAATTCTCGACTGAAATTGTTGCTGAGGTGTGGGACCGTTGACAGCATCTCCGGTTTATAACCTGGGGTGGATTCCGAAGGGACGCTGCCTAGGTGAGTTCCAATGCCAGTCAAAAAATAAATAAAGAAATAAATAAAAATAAAAATATTTTGAAAATCTAGGATAAACTATTCATGGGATCATTTGCGGCGATCAACTTCTTGAACAAGATGATCAACTTCAACGTGTAAAATTATATTAACATTATAAAATATTGTATGTGTAATTGATAATTGTGAAGCATTACCGATTAACATTAGTAGACTTGACCAATTACATCAGTCCAGATGATGTAAATTTTTAGGGTTATTTTCACTGATATCCCCTTAAGTTTAGCCAAATATCAGTTTCAAACATATTTCGAAAATAACTATCACTTAGGTCCATTTTCATTTTCCGTCACGGTTTCCGTTAAAAATATGAAAAAAGATAACTTTGCTCCTAATTTTTTAATCACATTTATTCAAAAATATCAGATAACCCAAATGACTATTATACCCCTAATTAAACTCCTACCTACCTACCACAATCCCGCCAATACACATTATTTCTCTCTCTTCTATTTCTATCTTCTCTCTCCTCTATCTCTATCTAAAGGGGACGGTTTTATTTTGAACATGTGTACATTGGCGGTGCAAACTTATGGAGAGTTTGAGTCAATTCAGTCGTTCCGAACTACGGTGAGCTCCAACAGACCAAATCGGCGAGCTTCATTCCAACCATTGTATCAAGTGAAATAAAAACCCCATTCTGACGAGCTTCGGTCCATTCCGACGAGCATTATAGGTGGCCAAAATAGCTACAACGAGCTTTAACCCAGTTCAAGTGAACTTCGACAGAGGTCCACTTATGCTCCAGTGACATCTCATACAACTTCGACCCACCTAGGCTAAACCCACTTCGGGGAAAGAGGAAAGAGAAGACGAAAGAGAGCTGACCAACTCTTGGTGTCCATTTCTCTCTCTCTAATAAGCCATTTCGTCTCATCTCTCCTCTTCCCCTGAACTAACACAAAATGTGAGAAAATAATGTAATGTTTATGTTTTGTTAATATATATATATATATATATATATATATATATATATATATATTGTAAAAAGGTGTGATTTTTTTTTTGTTTAAGTGGTGGGACCCACTTTCCACTTAATTGGTTTTAGTGGCCAAGAGACCATTTTGGCCTCATTTCTCTCTCTCTTCCCGGTACTCCCTCTTTCTCCCTCTCATTTTCTTTTTTTTTTTTCTTTTTCTTCTCTCAACAATTTCAAGCTTTGATTCCTCTCTCAATTTTGAGAGTTTGTTGGTGCCGTTTGAGACAAATTGGAGAACTCGTTGTGATCTACACGTTAATAGGAGCAATTTACCATTTTGCCCAACCTAGATGTAATACCCCGTAATTTTAAAGAATGTATTTAAATTAATTTTGTGTTAGGTTAATTAATTTTATTTATTTGTGCATACTACATTATTATATTATGTTCATTTAATTGTGCATGTAAAGTAATTGTGTATGTTAAAATAGTAAATTTATTCATTTAATTATGCATGTATTATTAATAATAATTTTATTTGTTGGTTATGCTTATATTAATCATTATTAGCTAATTAAAGTATTATATTTGTGTTATATAGTATTATGATGTTATAATGTATTCTTTTGTAATAATAATAATTATATTAGTTTAATAATAATAATAAAAAAATAATAATATAATAATCATATAATAATAAAAGTTTATTAATAATAATATTAGTAATAATAATAATAATAGTTATAATAAATCAATGTAATGATGGAAAATTAAATACTAGGATAGAATTTCATTTACTATGGTAGAATGGTGGATCAAATATCTTGATTAAAGATAGCATTGTCTTAAAGCCATATAGGTAGGAATATGAGAAATGGGTGAGAAGTTATTATAAATTAGATATTTGTAATATTTATATTATATATTTTGTGTATAAATTAACTAGCTTGCCTTAGAAAAAAATAAAAGGGAGTTAGAAGCAAAGTATAAATTCTAGAGAGCTATTTTATAAGAGTGAAAGGAAAAGAGAAAGAGAAAGAAGCTTGGACCGGTGTAGGCAATTTTACCCGACTACGCGCAGACCGGCGGATTTATTTTAAATCCAAAAAGGCAAGTTATTATCTACTTTTCCCCTTTGAATTAATAAATTAATTGTTTAGCTTATTTTTATGCATAGAGCCAAGGTTTGGAGGTTAATAAATTATTAATTTTATTTTATTAAATTAATGGAATTTTAATTATATAGGATGGTATATATTTATTTAATGTCCTATGAAATTAATAATGGCTAAAAATAATTAAATACGACTTTAGGGATTTTTCTAGAATTTTCTAGATTTTTCCGGGCATTTTCTGCAATTTCCGGCGACCTTCCGGCGAGTTTTCCGGTCGCCGGCAGTGGGGGAGACGACCGGAGTGATCCGGTGCGACGCGGCACACCATAGGAGGGTGTACGCGCGCATCCTGGCCATTAGTGGAGTCTGATTGATCCGGTGCATCGCGGTCCATGATACCGCGGTACACCCGGATCTGTGGGCGTTGGATGGAGGGAAGATAGGGTGAGATGATCCGGTGTGACGCGAGTACGGAATCCGGATGCAGCCAACCAACCAGGAAGTGACACGTCAGCAAGGCACCCTTAGTGCGCGCGTGGGAGCGCGTGGCTGATGCCAGACGCGCGTGGAGGCGCGTGGGAGAGTGGGGAAGGTTGGGCTGCGCGTGGGGAGGCTCTGGGAGGCGCGTGAGGGCGCGTGTGGGGTCCCTACAGCTGCTGGAAATTACCAGAATACCCTTAGGGCCTGTTTTGTAAATTCCAGAACCTTAAACTTGGATTTTTAGGTACTGTGTTGGTAATTACGGGTTAACGGGCCACGAAATTATTATTTTAACACCCGTTACTTATTCTTATGGCTGATTAATCTTTTCTAAGCATTTATTGGCTCGTTCGCAGTACGGATACTAATGTGATTTATTTAACGACATTGTTAAATATAAATAGTGTTATTATCGTATTTAATGGTATCAAACATTACTGTTAAATTAAATAAGGCCATGGTTTTAATCAGATAAATTATCCATGATATCTTATAGGATGTTTATACTGTTAATTGATATATAAACCATGATTATTATGCTGTGTGCATTTCAGGAAATAAATGGACTGTTTAATTATGTCGCATTTATATTATATGGATGTGTTGCCATATAGAACCATATGAGCTGGCTAATAAGTTTAGACTCATTTATACCTTATGCATTCGTTGCGATAGACAGATGTGTGGCTGTCGGGGTATGTGGTTTAATATTATTGGCATGTGTTGCCTAATTGACATACTCGGTATATTTATTAATATTATTGGCATGTGTTGCCTAAATTGACATTCTCGGTACATTTATTAATATTGTTGGCATGTGTTGCCTAATTTATATGCTCAGTATATTCATCAGTACTTTGCGAGGTGTTTTCACTGTGTAGTTCGTTATAGTCTGCGTTGTCAGTACCGTACACCATGTATAATAGCTGATTTCCCGGGTAGGGAAAGGCGACACTTGACCACCTAGTGTGAGTCTAAGTGATCACCGTCTATTCTGGTTGAGGTCATGTTATACATCGGATAGTTCCCGTAGGATGTATACAGATATAGTACTCATCCGATTCATAATGATTAATTTATTTGATTCTCTGATTTGGGTCATAGTAGAGAGGACTTGCTCGTGGGGTTGACCCACCATTGTTGTTATTTCAGGATACGGTCAGTATCCGTTTCAAGGCTGAGGTTAGCAGTGTGGGACCATCATCCGAACTCATCTACTCCTACGATCCAGTTCAGGGTAGAAGTTTTATGTATTACTTCAGTTTCAGTTTTTATTTACTATTGACGTTGAACTCTCAGGGTTA